CAACCAATAAGATGTGTTAGTATTGGGAACCAATTGAAATATGGTAAATGACAGTGAAAAGTATGGAAAGAAAGCTTACTTTTGGGAGAGAGGGGAGTCGAATGACTCTTCTTGATGATGGGTCTTTTAACTTGGAAGAGAAAATGGATATGGAAGGCGAAAAGATGACGGATTGTGACTGGAGAATTGTTGAATAAGAAGAGACTATCATTTATGCTAAATATTGAGGGTAATTAATCTGGCATGTATAGACAATTGATTGAGGGTAATTAATATGACACTAATATAGATATAAATTGTGGCATTAAATCTGGATGATAAATATGACATAGTTGTAATGTTGGAGGGTAAAAGTGGGAAATAAATGTTTTTAATGTATTCTGATATTTTAAAATAGCATAGATTAAATACACCTAATTAAAAATAACATAGCACTAACCATCCCAATAAATTATAATTTTTCAGTTTAACCCCCAAATACGAATAAAACCTCTCAATTCCACTATTACAAAATTATATTGATATACACCTATCTTTAATTCTTCAAATATTTCAATTTAATCCTTTCTCACAGATCCACCTAAAAATATTAAATAAAATAGGAAAGTATACAATATGACGAGGAATAATATGCTCAATGATATCAAATTCCAAACAAATCGAGGAAGTATCTCAATCAAATGATACAAATCAATAAACTAATATTTCACATATCCCACGTCATGCGAGATCTAAATAGAGATCTGGTACCTCACCAACCATTCCACATTAACCTGATCCCATAGGCCTCTTGGCTAACAATGCATCAGACTATTAGTTGTCCCAATCCCATCTCAATCCACACGAAGCACGATCAATAAGAGCAATATACTCAAAGAAATTCAATAGGAATTTCAGAATCATGATGACACAAAATACAGTTCAATAAAATAGAATCATTATCAGTTACCTATGATAGACACTTGTCATATGTTACCATTAGATGATTGACAATTCAACATTCTTTTATTTAATTCGTTATCATACTTACTTTTTTCAACTAAACAAGTATCCTTCAGAGATTTGATACCAATAACTTAACCTCCAAATAAAATTAAAGATTTTCATCATGGTCAAACTCTAACAATAAACTCTAATATTATAAATAAAATAATCCATTATTTTTTATAATAGAGGCGAGTGAGACTATATTAACACAGTGCACACCATCCTATCTTTAAACGCCAATTGACTTTGGCATTAGAGGGTTAAGTCCGGCCGCCTTCTAACCCATTTCCTTGTTTGTAGGGATCACACCTCTTTTTATCCTGGTGTCTCTATCTCAAACTATTACGTATTAATCAAATTGTGCATTATTTATTCATATCCATTAAACCGAACTTGAATTCTGATCAAATTTTAAAAAAAAAAATCAATCCATAGATAAATAGCTTGCACCATTCAAGGACCATTTTGGTACAAACAAGAGATCATTACTTTCACCCAGGAGGACAAAATTACTACAGTTTCATCATACAGAAAAAGAAAACCTTTATAATTCTTGAGTTTTTTCGCAATGGACTAAAAATATAGAAAATTTATCAAAAAAAGGATAAATATAAATTTAAAACTTTTTTTTTGCCAATATAAATGCCAAAATAAATTCTTTTACAACACAAAACTCAAAGATGTCTGTCATATTTGAAGTATCAAGGAATGCTCATCTTATTAATCAACAACCAAGAGGATCTAAGTGTACTTTGACCTAAAGAAACTCATAAGCTAGAAGAACATAGGTATGCACTATGCAGTTGGTAGTCATGTTCACATGACCACCCAAGCAACGTGAAAGTAAAGGGAATACACCGAACATTCTTCGTTGTTAATCTTGTGAGTTGTGGGCCTTGGGACCATCCCCAGGTAGATAACTTGAGCAATCTTTTTGTTTAAAGTCATGTTTGTCCTCGTTGCTTCCACTGGATAAGTTAATTGAATGTTAGTGATGAGGGATAATTTTGGCAATTCAATGGCATGAAATGAGATGGAAACATCTTACGGGCATCTCCAATGTTGACTCAAATTCTAACTCAAATTTGAGTTAAAAAAATGAGTAAAAAATTGATTTGGTATGCACCTTTCCGATGAATAAAATCAAATTTATACTCAAATTTTTTAAAAAATTCTCATATTGTCCCAAAAGTCCATTTCTTTAAATCCACATGACACATCATGGCAAAGTTAGAAAATTACCTCAATATTTTCTGAAAATCTATGGAAGCCGATGACTCTTGTTGATTGTGGTAGATTGTGTGGTGGTGGTGACCGAAGAGATGAAGCACAGCCGTGAGAGATGAAGAAGGGTTTAGTTTGGCGGGGAAGAAGATTGATCGATAGAGAAAGAAGGGTTCAGTTTTGCCTCAAAAGATTTTGAGTAAAAATGTTCTCTCAATTTGGGTCAAAAACAAAATTTCTCTTGATTTAATGTAAGTTTGAAGTAACTATTGGAGATGATTGTTTACTTAAATTTAAATTTAAATTTAATTTTGAGTAAAGAATGAAAATGAACTTTTAAGTGAACAAGACCACAACCACTTTGCATCCCCACCTCGGGCTTATTTGATAAGGGTACTTATAGATTTAGTCCTATGAAATTGTAGAGAGAGACAGAGATTGGACTTATCATCATAATCATTACTACGATCACTTCTTCAACCCACAAATCACACTTCAATTCCAAACAATTCCCTCTTTTTACTTTCTTTTTCTTCTCCTCCTTCCACCTCTTTCCACCTTTTTGCCTTTTTTTTTGGGTACCCTCTCCAACACCCTTCACCTCTCTCTCTCTCTCTCTTTCTCTCTCTATCACACACACAGATCAGGATTCATGATGGAGTTTGTCAGGTATTTTTCTGGTTTCATTGAGTCTCTTTCCAGTTGGGTATCTAGTTCTTGGTTGTGTGAATCCAAAATGCTTTTCTCCTTTATTCTTTCTTCTTTAGTTACTAGGCAAATTTGGAATGATGTATTGAATCTTTCTTTTTCCTTGAATTTGGTCGTCTAATAATTCTCCTACAAGCGTTACCAATGTTTTGGTATCATTTTTTTTTACCAGAATATTTCTGTGGTTCCATAAAATTTTGATTTTAACTCCTTTTGGCAAACGATCACTTAATTTCATAATTTCTAATCCTCTTAACTATTGATTCGATTTAAGATTTCCCCTCAAATTATAAATTTTTTCACATTACTCCCTCAATTAATTGAATTGTTTCACCTTGCCCCAAAATTTAAGGGGTTGCAAAATGAAACAAATTTTTATAAAATTAATAATTGGCGCGAGATGAACTAATCACATAGTGGAGGTGTATGCTGTCTTTTTAGATAAAAATTATCGAAATGTCAGAGTAAAGTAAAAAAAAATCACATAGTTCAAGAAGACAAAATGAAATAAATTTCCATCAAGTTACTAATTGAGGTGATAGAAAACTAATAACATAATTGAAAGTGTAATTTGAAAAAATGATAGTTGAGAAACTAATTTGAAAAAAATGAGTCATAGTTAAGGGGGTCAAAATATAATATTTCCTATACATGTATCTATTACGTGGATTGGATCACTATGTGATTTATGTTGGTCTATAAAAATTTGAATTATTGACATAATACAACATATTCGAATAATTTGGTCAAAATATCAAACGGATTTATATTGGTAGACAAATATTTGAAACTATAATCATTGACGAGCCTTGATAAAGGGCTTGCACCATTGAACGACCAATTCGGTGGAAACAGGATATCATTAGTTTCTCTTACATTGAAGGAAAAGTTTTAGTAGATAGTTTCCCCATAAAGAGATAAATTGCATTGATAATACATGAGTATTGATTAAAGACACAAAAGATAAACACAACCAAGAAAAAGGATAAATATAAATTTATGGTGAAAAAAAAATCGGTTTTCTCTCACAAAACTCCAAAGTGATGTGCCATATTTTAAAGGATTCTCATCTTCTTTATCAATAACTATGAGGATGTAAGTGTAATTTATTCCAAAAAACTTCGAAGTTGATAGAGCACAGAGCTGCACTGTGCAGTTGCTAGTCATGGTCACATAACAACCCACCCAATGCGAAAGATAAAAGGAAAAACACCCAACTTTCTTAATTGTAAATTTTGTGAGTCGTGGACCTTGGGGGCCCATCCCAAGCTAGATAACTTGGGCATCCCTTTTGTTCAAAGTCATTTGTCCTCGTTGGTTCCACTGAATTAATTAATTGAATGTGAGTGAAGAAGGATTGTTTTGGCAATTCAATGGTAATGAGATCAAAAGGAAGCATCACGCTAAGTCAACAACTCTGCATCACTCTGCTTCCCCACCATTGATTGATATGGATACATACAAATTTAGGAATAATGTTAGTCATTGTAAATTTCTTAGCAAATTTTACCTTACTAAATTGGTGTAGGTTATGGTACATTAGAAAGTTTTATCCATATAATCCCAAGCAGATGAAGAGGAATTAATTAAGATATGCATAAATTGACTCGAACACCTCTGACTGTTGAACTAAAAAGAAAAAGAAAGAAAGAAAGTTATACCCATAGTTATTTGACAAACTAAATTTATGGTTAATAATATTTTGTTCCTAAAATATGAATTTTATTTTTTGTCAATTTATTACTCACTATATCAATTTTATTAATTTAATCTTTAAAATATTTATTTCTTGTAACTTTTGTCTTTACATAGATGAATAGTTAATTTTAACAAAATAATAAAATTAATACAATTCTATTAACCCCAAAATTTAGGAAGCATTTGATTTGCACATCACTACTCTAAATTTAATTCTATGAAGTAGTAAAAATTGAAACACGAGAGAGATGGAGATTACACATGGCATCATGATCATTCATCATTACTAGGATCACTTCCTCAACAAAGAGTATACACAAATTCTAAACAATTCCCACTTTTTTCTTTCTTTTTCTCCTCCCTTGCACCTCTTCCCAGCTTTTTGCGACTTCTTTTTATTGTGCCTCCTACACCCTTCAAGTCTCCTTTCCTTAAATCTCTCTCTCTCTCTCTCTCTCTCTCTCTCTCTCTCATGTATATATATAACATGATTCAGGAAGGATACAATAACCCTTCTTTTTCATCACTCATCATGTCCCGTGGGGTTGACATAGCTTGGCTTGTCTTTCTTTGTTTCAATCGAAGCTAACAAGCAATTTCTGATTCGAAAACCACACTAAAGAAGCACAAGTAAGAGGAAGAGGAGGAGGAGGAGGTCATAAACTTAGTAGAAATGGGTACAAGGATTGTTCATTGTCTTGTATTAATCCAATTGGGTCTTGTTCTATGTTCAGGTAACTTGCTGGTTCTTCTCTACTATGAATTATTTCCACTTTTTTTTTAAAAAAAAATTTGTTTCATTGATCCTCTTTCCTGATGGGTATCTAATTCTCTGTTGCACGAATCCAAAATTCTTTTCTCCTTTATTCTTTCTTCTTTAGTTACTTGGCA